CTCCCTGCCCCTCCCCGTCCCCTACAAAAAAGAAAAAACAAAAGTATGAAATATTAAAAAAAGGTGTACCTAACTCGATAAATCATCATCAGTACGCTGGCAGTATGTTTTTCTCCAAAAAATATGTCATTTTCTGCCTCCTCACTTAATCGGACTACTATAAAAGTAAAGAAATGCCAACCAGTGATGCCTTACAATTCAAAATCTGTCCCAAAAACACTTCGTCTAACTCACCAATGACGAGGCCGTAATAAACTAATGCACTGGCGATCCATACGACCGCAATGACAGAAGTTCGGAAACAGAGCACTCGCGATTTAATCATATTGAAAATACTGGCACGTTGATTTCGTTTCACCCATTTACGTTGTTCGGCATGTTTAACCAATTCCAGATCGCAAGGCAGTCTCGAGTGACTGACGTGACATAAACTGAATGGAAATGGCGGATCCCTGAAAGATTCCGCTTATCAGTGGAGGAGCTACTTCTGAATGCTTTCGCCTCTCACACAGAGCAATTTCTGGAGCAGAACTGGGTCTTTAACATTTGACAGATAATAGCGAAACAAAGAGTAATAATGCTACTGCCAAGCCGTCACTGATTAAAGCAACTAGGAGAATCAGACTGAGAATTATAGCTAATCAAAGCGTTTCAAATAGTTGCATTTTTTATCAAAATCAAATACTACAGAATTCCCGTATAATTTTTACCAAATTCTCAGCGCTCTGAAAAATCCCGCCACGAAATTCAAGATCAACTTTTTATAGCAGCTGTTTAATACGCAAATATTTTCGCAGAAAATTTCACTCCTCCTACTTTGATAAAAGTTAATCCATATTCATTGAATCTAAAATATGCAAAATATCATAAGTGCTAAAATATTTGAGATTTTTTAGGTCCCCGCTTTTTTTGCCCAAAAATTCCAAACCAGAAAAAATGATAAAAACCGATAACTAATTGTGCGTTTCCCAAAAATTTTTTAATCTGTTAAAATTTTTTTTTCAGCTTTACCAATCTTTATCATAATTTTGTAATTTTGTAAAAAATTCAGCCCATTTTCGTCCAAGACTGGACAAGAATCATGCCAAACCTGCATGCTTTTCGAATGTATCGTTCCGCTTCGCCCACACGATTACTAACAATTAGCCAGCGTGGGCTTTCGGGCAGCACGCAGACCATCATCAGGGTGGCTGCATGCAGTGCAGCTGTGATCAGCTGGATGTGCTGCCAAGATTTGCAGAGATACGCAATCAGTGCCAGCATCGCATAGCCAACAGCCCACGGTGCTTGCAGTAAACTACCGATCATTGCCCGATAACGCATCCCTGAAATTAATTCAGAATTGACCAACAAGCTCAGCCAAATGGTCGGGGGCAAGAGGGTTGAGGGGAA